ATATTCTGACTTTTCAAAATGCTAAATGTTTTCGATTTTAGTCAGTTAAGGCATTGATATGCATTTGTGTATAAAACAACTAACCGTATTGTTGAGCATTATCAATAAATTGGAGAGACACAAATAATACATAGAATATTATGGACTCCATATTAGAGATGAGTGTAGTCATATGAAGGGAAAACTTCCGCATTGAATATAATAATTTTTTTATCTCCTTTTATGAGTTTTATCGTTTATAAACAGCATTTCGTAAATTGTAGTCTCGTTATCCTGGTCTTGCTAGCAGGTAAAACCTATGACTTAGGCGCAGGGTTCATAGAAGGTGTTATAAGTCAACATGGGATATTTAGTTATATTGGACAACAGACGTTTTTTCTGTTGATTTTCCAGTATTCTGAGTTTAACAGCCCGCTTGCTTTTTTTTATTTGTTAAGTTTTCTCATACCAATCATTATTCAATTTTTCAGCTATTTATAAATTAATTATTAATTCAATGGTCATGTTTTCGTCTTGCATATTTTTGTACATAATTTTTATTCATAACCTTTTTGTTGTTCAGCACACTTATTATATAATTTGTTAAAATCAATGCTAAAATCAATCTAAGCAAAAAGAGAAATGAATCTTAAAAAGATTATGTGTCAGATATAAATGCAAAGACAACTAGTCCTTGACTCAGAGTTGTATGTATACAATTTAAAAATTGTGCATGTTTTTGGAGGTTAATAATTAAAGAAATGTTCTCGAACCTTTAGGAAGGTTAGAGTTCACATGTGTAGTGCATCGTAATGGAAGTTCAATTGTGATGTGAAGAAAAATTTAACAAGCGACGAAAATAAAAAAAAACGACGAGATGATGCGTAGAAAATGCTTTGAATTTATATATTTCATGAATTATTTATAAAATCTTGGAAAATTACTAAACTTTATAGCAATATTGCCGAGTAAATGAAGAAAGTATATCGGCAAATATGACGTCATCAGCCTTGACATGACGCAGTACAAGTGATCCAGGGAATAAATTCGCTGTTTAAATATCTACAAAAATGCTTCAATAAATATAGAATAATTTCTTTTTCTTAACCTTATCATTAAAAATAAAAGGAAAAAAAAATATATTGTATAAGAAGTATGATTTATCTAAACGCATTATATTGGGGATGTACAGGGACAACAAATGTGTACAATATCGCTAAAGCGATAAGCGAATTCGTGATTTCCATCAAAAGTGCAAGGGGGAAAAAGTTTGTTTGAGCTGAAATATGGAATATTAATTACTTTTATAGTGTTTACTTTGATACTAGATTCTCTTCTGCTTTACATTTTATATTTATATCAAAATTTAAGCGAAAATATTGTACGCCTTTTCATCAATATTTTGAGTACTTCCAAAACAGTACAGACTTGTTGTAAGCACTTTTTAGGTAGAGAAAGTAAACATAATTTAATGTGAATCAGTTTTTTCTTCAAATCCAAGCGTAAGCGCTTGCACTATCCCCTTTTTCTTCACTCAATGTTATTTTTTGTCTAGTCACGTGACAAGCTGTTGATACATGCAAGATAACTAGTACTGTGTATGGCCTAGTCCTATCCATTATGGAAAGCTATATTATATTTCCGACATGTTTTAGTTACTTTATTATAATTCTTATAAAAACGTAATATTCTTATCAAATAGTAATATTAAAACGGTGCTAGGATCACATTTTCCATTTCGGTTCTAGAAATAGCTGAGTACGGTATATGTTTTCTTCTGTCACAGCCTGTGATGAAGAAATAAATCGCAAAAATAGACAAAAAAATGTTGAATAGAATTTGACGAACACTAACAAATAGTAAAGTATGGAGATAACAAACAGTATTCAATATCAAATTCATAAAAGGATACAAAACCGGAGCAGAGCAGATATAGGAATACGATTTCTCGACAATGATAGATTAATTGAAAAATAATATCCAAATTATAATTATAACCTTGATCCAGCCTCCCAAACAAAAATTAATATTTTAACCAACTTAACCCCAAACAATCCCGTTAAATACATTCATCACCATAGACCACCTATTGCGATGCCTATGGATCCTTTTGATAGTAGATATAATCAGCAAATAAGATTATCTTAAGGCTTATGCTTAAAAAATAAACCATTGTTATTTTTTAAACTATTAGATTCAATATTTAGCATGAAAAATTTATGTTCGGCTGTAAGAGTAAAATATTGATGTTTCATCAGCAACATTTTTACGCTTAAAAAACACTTGACAACTTGGTCTACATCTTTAAATTTCATAGTGCATTAGTTTTTCAAGATCAATGTCTGCAAACTATATCTTCATGACACCAAGACATGTCAAAGAGCACAAGGTGACTTACCGGTGTGCAGGTGATGCTCACTCGTCCATGGCACTTGATCCCACCTTTGATGTTTTGGAGGTCCGTGTTTGCTCCGCTTATATTTTGTAATATCCAATAAACTTTAGAGCTCGTATACAGTTTTTTTTATTTGCACATATTTTATTGTGTTCATTGTTTTTGGAGAACAAGAAACTAGTACAATTTCATAAAGAAATGATAAATTATATATTTCAACTGGCGAACGTTAATTTATAGAGTACCTCACTGCAAGCCTCACATCAATGTACTTGCTTTTATTATCTTGTATGTCAACTCCAAATTAAACAATTAAGATTAAAAATCTTCAGTTAAATAGTACCCATTGAGATATATGTTTTATGATTCTTTCAACTGCTTCTGACTAATTTCATTGCAAACTCATGCAAAAAAAAAAAAAAAAAAAAAAACAAGCCATTGTTAAAACCATTGCTGTCAATTTATGTATTCTTATTTCTAAAGTAAGATTTTCACTAACGCAAGACAAGCATTAAAGTCAACATAAAAAAACTGATAGTTCATGGTCAAAAAGTAAAAAAAAATATTCTAATAAATCAGAAGACATTACTTAAAGTACACATAAAATCGAGGAAAAAGTGGATCAGATTGTAGAGTCAAGGTCATCGGTATTTCAGGCCGACACCTTTTGGATATGAAAACAACAACTTCTATCAATCAAAAGTTAATATTGACGAAAAGTTATTGTCTGTTTACATTTCAAAGGAAAACAAACCACAAGACAGAAAAAATGCAGACGGACAGAATTGAGAGGCACATAATAAAAAATTGTCCCTTAATCTCCGGGGCATAAAATAGTATTTATACGCCGCCAGTACATGTTTGCATTATTCGAAACGTGAAAAAAAAAACTACATGTAACAGTATGGGAATTAAAACATTTTCCCCTTTTATTTTGATCACTTGATAATCCGTCTACTCGATCAAGGGTAGGACTCATGGCGGGTAAAGCTGCACAGGTAGACAGTAGATATTTTTCGCCTACAGCGCACCTTACTCGTGATGATCTTCCGTGTTACTGTTTTTGTGTCTTCTTCAATTTTTTTAGACATATTTTTGTTTGATTTTTTTTCAAGATTGAACCGTGTTTGAAATGCTTTCTTCTCTTATATTTCACATTTCTAACAACATAACATTTTAATTGAGATTCGTTATTTAATGTGCTTCTTAAACAACATTAATATGAAAGTAGTCACCCAATTTGTACCAAGTAGTTAACATATTTTTGAATTTCTTCCAGTTTATTATGTTTTGTAGAGGGACTGTGTGTATGTTTTATATCTTGTGATTTATTTCCTTCAGATCAGAGAAGATGCAAATGATCTAGTTTTTAGACGCATTACTAACTCTGAATTACAGGGAGGAAATAAGGAAATGAAGCTATGCATTTGATTTTTCACACACCCTTTTCATTTTCTTTCATCTTAAGTCATTTTAGTCGTTTTTTTTTAACATGTATCCTGTGGGAATTACCAGCATTTCACAATATTTCCTTATACAGAGAAAAGTTTAAAATACTTTTTGACCGACATTATACTGTAGAGCACATTATAGGAGACCAACGGGATATAGACATGCAGAATTATAAAGGTTTGCAGGCAAAAGCTTGGATATGGTATTTAGAAACCCGGAAAACACTTGAAATAAAGAAGTCATATTACCTTCAAAATTATTGAAGCGGATAAAATGAAAATGTAATCTTTAGTTCATTAAGATACAATAACATCCTTAAATTTAATTAACTTTCTGCAAAGCATTTAAAAAAAAACAGAATTAAGGCAGACTGAGGACAAGCAGCCAGACGTGAACAAATATTTCGTCCTCTTCCTCTGCTTTCAGCTGTGACGGACTAGTTAGTTTCACCTTGTAAATGTTAAATTGTCTTACAAAGATCATAATAATGTCCATTGTTTGTCTTCCTAATGAATTTTATATTCATACACTTAGTATTGTTTTTTTATTTACATCAGTCCTTGAACTTGTTTGATTAACCCTTGTATAAATCAAAACTTTTAACGGATTGGTTTAACTTCAGTTATTTTTCCACTAGATGACTAATTCATAATTATATCAATGACGAGTTTTCAGAGTAAGAAAAAAGAAGTTACAAGGAAATAGAAGTCAATGGTTTATAACCATGTAACGCATATTCATGAGTTTCAATTATTTAATGTTTTGATTGCTTTCTTTATTCTGAACAAGATTTATCGCATAATCAATTATAACTACCTTGGAAACGTTTCCAAAATTATATATTTTAAGCACCCTGAACATATCTGAGGCAAATAAATATGACTTTTAATAAGTAATTTATAGAATTTATTCCTTACGTATCAATCATACAAACATATAGGTAGAAAATCAAAAATGCTAAGATTGAAACTTTCTCTTACATATCTTTTTTGTCTTATAAGCTGTTTTTTTTTATTTCTTAAGCTACTTCGTAAATAAAAGAAAAATACAATATTTTCATACCAGATTATCTATACCAAAAAAATTATAATTGGTTCGTCGATGCTTATACTGTTAAAAACTGTTGTTTGTGTTGTATATTAACCAATTTACGTGATATATTTCAAACGTTTAATCAACCAAGATTAATGTACTCAGTTATAGATTTGACATCATTATTAGTTATTTCCATATAGTGAGACGCGTCTATTGCTGTATTTTTACTAGACACTGGATCGTGGATATGAACATACTCGGATTTGTCTTCTTTCCTAGCCATAGTAGTCTCGTACGCTGGATCTAAATTGCTAGAATGAGACGGTCGACAATTTCTTCGCAAGAAACAGAAAAAGAGCGTTGTAACCAACAAGATTATAACAACAGAGAGTAATGAGACTGTTAGAAGGAACGTGCTGTTCGAAATGGATGTTTCTGCAAAGAAAAGAGAAAAATTTTTTTTAATTCATATACGAAACTTTTACAATGATAGTTATGATTATCGAAACACTGTTCAGAAAAGCGTGAAACAGTTGCGGGCATATCTGTGCCTGTAATAAATATCATTAAATGGTTAAAGTTACACAATGATTTTTTTTTGTATTAGGAGACCATTCTCAGTAGTTCAGATGCAATGCATGTATTGGGAAAAGTATGACAAGAAAAGAATTTTTATATTTAAAAAAAATATAAGAATTTGATAAATACATTTGATGTTTAACTAAATTTGCCATTAAGTTTTCAAGAAACTGTATCAGACATGAATTGAATAATTAACTGAAAGGAGATTAAGCATTAAAAAAAGTACGTTTTACTGAACTATATTGACTGAACTATACTAAATTATTTACTGCTTTTTTTGTTCATAATAATTTTAATATGGAAAAATTATCTTTTTTTTGCAAAACACCTTCATTCAGTTCCCATTTTCATCCAGATGTATCATATGCTTAAAGTAATATCATTATTTTATGTTGTTAGATAACGAAGCAGTACTATTCTTAACTTCTACAAATATTGTTAAAAAAGATTGTTCAAATTTGTTCAAATTAAAATCATACATATGGATATTCTTGGTTTTACTCCAAAACATTTTATATGCTTACCTGTATGATGTAAAAAGATTCATCTATTTATTTCATTATTTTAATGACGTTGTAATGGAATTTGAATTCCCAGGCCTATTTTTCATTTTTTTTGTTTCCTCACAAATAGGCATGATACATTTAAACTTTAAAAATATATAAACTGAAAAGGTATTTAAAAAAGATAAATCATAATCCAATTAAAAAAATTGATTAAAAATCTTTAAATCACAACACAATGCAGAAAAATTGAAAAGATTTTTTAACAAAGAGAAATACAATTACCGGACCATAACACAGACATAATATTGATTCATGGATTGATATATACATGATATCTTTTGATTTAGTTTCGCGACCAACTTAAACTCGCGAATATTAATCGTCGTGAACAAATAATTTAGCTTAGTATTTGTAAAAAAAATCATTCCTCTGTCGCGTAAATTAATCGTCGCATGGATTCTACTGGACAATCGCGAATTAAAGATGACGCGAATAATAGTTGGCAATTACAATCACAGTGATCAATCGGTTTAGTATCAGAAGTTTTGTCTTAGTATTTACACTTCAAAGTTATTTTTATACCTGACATGGGAATTTCATTCTGACAAAAATCTCCAGATCTGCCTTCATTACATCTATTACAATACCCCGTCTCTGGATTACATATATTATCTCTGCAGTCGTTGCTACAAGACTGATTACAGATAACTCCATAGAAGGTCGAGGCACATACTGTAATAAAAGGATTAAATATAATGACGTTTGGTTAATAAGCAAGGGTACTAAGGGTAATTCATAGAAGAATATTAAATCTCTTTACAAAAAGATCTAAATTTCTAACAAGTGGACTATACCTACTCACGATTGTCGCCCGCGTGGCGCAGTGGTATGAGCGTCTGCGCTAGAGTCGCGAAGTAAGGAGTTGATCCTTATGTCGCGGGTTCGAATCCCCCGGTTGGACGTAAAGACCGGTCCTTCGGATGAGACCGTATAAACCGAGGTCCCGTGTCGCAGTAGGTGCTGGCACGAAAAAGATCCATCCCTGAGTGCCGAGTATAGGACAAAATTTGTAGCTTTCCGCCTGCAAGTGTCTCCATATGAGTGAAAGATTCTCAAGAGGGAAGTTAAACAATCTGCATTCAATCAATCTACTCACGATCCTGGCATCTTGCTACAATCCAGCCGTCCTTGCATCCTCCATCACATGATCCGTTCACGTGATCACACGACATGGGATCCAAACAATGTGGACTACAGTAATCCTTACACATCAGTCCGAAATGTCCAGGTTCACATTCTGAAAAGTTATACAATTAATTACTTCTTTTTTTTTAAATAAGCGTCAATAAGAAAAATAGAAATATAGGAAAAAAGAATATAAAAAATTTAGCGTCCTTTGAATAACCTGCATTTTGATTACCTAATACATATATTTTATCATAAAAGTAATTTGATCCAAAGAGTGGTATCGTCGAGTTGATGGGTGCATATCTTCAGATCCAACGAGAAGGAAAGCGTCAAGTACTTGCATATTCAGCAAAACGTGATATTGCTCTTCGAATAAAGTTACACCTCCCACGATAACTAGCTTGCTTTATATGAAAATATACTAAATAAAGATACTTCTTTTAGAAAAATATTATTTCTGAATTGATTATGTATGATGTCTTTTTGTGCAAAATATGTTCAGTGACAATCATGGCAATAAATGAGAAATGCACTAGTACAGAAAAAAGGCACAGTATTTTTATACGTAATTTAACTTGAATTTTTTTTTATTATATATAACATATGAAAAATATAGATAACCTTGATCACATTTATCACCTATCCATCCAGGAGAACACTCTCCAGGACAAAAACCATTCATGTGGTTACATGGTTTATCACTGATACACTGCCCACATTGGACAGAGCACATTTGTCCATATTTACCAGTTTGACATTATAAATAATGTATGATACGATAGCCAAGGCATTGAAATAACGACATATCTTCAATTTTTCTTTGTATATTCATTACGTGTCAATAGAGAAACACCGACATCTTACGAACGAACGTAACCAAAAACGGGGATCAGTCATTGTAGTCTGTTGTATTCACGGTTGCATTATTGAATTCTTCAATTTTATTGGGATTTCGATAGATAAAATCCCCACAAGATACCTCAAAGCCACGTCTTGTCGTAATCGAAACCGTGACGCAGCAATACATTTCAATGGACATCTAAACGAGCAAAGGGGTTCGAGGGGGGAAATGAAAAGAAAATTCAAAAAATGTCATTCTGTGGAATGAAATAAAAAATAATAGTATGTGCGGATCTAGTAGGGGTCGAACAGGGGGGGAGGGGGGGTACTTTACGAAGGGCGGTCGGGACATTAACGAGTTATCGTCTAAAACAAAATTGCAAAAACCCAAAAACTTTAAAGAAATTCTTATTCAAAATACTATATGCTGCTAAAAATAAAGTTAATATAGCTTTAATACACAGGTATTGTAGCCATATTATAAATCCAGGGGGATGCACGTTCGTAATTTCTCGGTTGATAAAGCTTCTTCATACAAACATGTATCTTATAAATCTTTATATAATTCTCACGGGTGCTAGTGGATAGGTCCCCCTTTTAACATCCCAGACCCAAATCTATTTTTTAATTTAACTGTAAAAGCTCAAAGGATTCTAGAGATATTGCTTGAAACAAAAGTGTAACAGACGGACAGAATTATAAGACGAATGGGCAGACCGAAATTAATATCCCCAACTTTCAGAGGGGGGGGGGGGTCGGCGCAAAAAGGGAAAGTTTTCAAATAATTTAAGATATACATGTATGAGAGCAAGTTCCATATTTGCATGCCATCATAGGACCTATGCCCCCCACCCCCCCCCTCCCACAACCGCTGGAATATATATAAATCCGGGTCCAAAGAATTAGTACTAGACGGTTAATTTATGAAAAAAAACAAATATGAATATCTTGGAACCCGGTATATATGTATATTGGAGGTGGGTATTGGGATCGAGGTTGTCTGGTCTACAAGCACTTGTGATAAGCATATATGTGCACATACTTTTGAAGGATGCCATGACAACTAGTAAACTACGTTTTCATATTATTCACACTTTTAAAAGTCCGGTATCTTTTTGTCGGTATTCTGAAATCAATCTTTATTTTTTTTTTTACAACAGGATGGTGAATATATATATTTTCCTTACAAATGAAGCAAGTTATAATTTCGATTATAGTTTTTATATGCATGTATATTGGACCTTCGGTCAAAATAACTCTGTGTGTGGTCAAAAATATAAAGTGTATCTTCTAATTTTGTATTTTGACGAATAATGCATGGTTAACAAACAATGACATAGTGGAGCATAACATTAATGAGAAAAATGTACCACCCTACATCAATGCATATTTTTAGCCTTTTTTATAATCCACATATATAAACAGATATACATCATGTACACACGTTCGTATATAGGAACGGGGTTAGGGGTTGGGGATAAGACCCCCCCCCCAATGAAGTCGACAAATAGACAAATATTATAGAAAACTTAGCTACTGTATACGTATGCCCCCTCAATAAAAATTTTTTCTTTCATTTCATTTTCCCAATGAATTGTTTGGTAGTGACTTTAAAATAAAAAAAGTTTGGTTGTGCCCCCACCCCCAACTGAAATTGCTTGCTTCATGCCTGTTACATATAATTTATTAAAAAAAAAACAGCCCAAGATAATTTAATTAAGATCGCCATTTAATACATCATCTAAGAAGATACTGTCTACCATGAATGCTCGTTTATTTCTTTGAAGTGATATTTTAATACATTTAAAAATCCTCTCTCTCTCTCTCTCTCTCTCTCTCTCTCTCTCTCTCTCTCTCTCTCAATACAAGACACTTTATAAAGCGCACTACCCATTTACTTGATTGCACGGATTTATTTATTTTTTTTAGCCTGTAAAAAGTAACCTTTCCCCATATGAACAAGGCATACACTACGAGTAGTTTGTAAACGTTTAAATCACTGACGCATGACAAACTTGTTTCCTAATCTGTCTAAAGTATTATGGTGCATTTTCTTCTATTTGTTCGCTTTTTTAAATTAACGTTGTAAGTGATTACAGTAAATTTGACAAGCAACTTTCAGTTACAAAGTGGTTCAAACACTATCCGTTCTATTTTACACATGCATATACTTATTTCTTCCGATTTTAAACTTTATATGGGTGCAATCACTGGTCCCGAGAATGCTATCGAGATACTGGAAGTTAGGGCGAGTTACGTTCGTTCGTAAGATGTCGGTGTTTCTCTATTATCCATTTGATATACATATATCTCTTTAAGTATTTTGGCCATACTTTATTCTATTGATCCTTAGTTTACTAGTACAAATCTTTGTGTTTGTTATGAAGAAGCATTTGTATTAGAATTTGAAGGATGTTCAAAAAGTTTGAGGACAATGCTAATTTATCGTCTTATTATTTTTCTTTAGAAATAAAAAAAACAACATTTTCATCAATGTTGTCCTGCAATTTTTTTTAAAAGAATACGAGTCCACATGACATGGATATAACCACTGCTGACAGATAACATTTTACAAGTACATCAAATTGTTGAGATGAATGTTATTTGTGACAACATCTGCATTTTCCGTCTCCTGTAAGTTTTGAAATAAGTCATGTTTCAGAGGAAAATAGAATGAAGTCAGGTTATATATGCTTCTGAAGACTACATAAATGAGAAAATCCCGCTATCATTTGATACATTCACAGTACAGAAACGTCATTGTTTTCTTCATGTCTTCTATTTATTTTTCAACAAGTAATAAAATATGTGCCAGTTCTTCAAACAAAAGGGCTTTAACATTAGACACAAAACGTTTAGATTCTATAATATGTCTACGGGCTATTTAGGTAGTCAAGAATATATGGCTATATTTTCTTTTTGAACTTTAATTTCAACCTTTAATTTCTGCTAAGTTTCCAGATTGAAAACAAAAATGAATGCTAGTATTCAACAATGCTCATGAATTTATTTCTTTTTAAATATATTGTTTGTTTTTATCCGTGGCCTATAGTTGATAATTAATGTAATTCATAATCCTTCACCTTCAAGTTATACTTAATAAAAATTAATCAAAAGAAAATAAATTAATCAAATAAAAAGGGAAAAAATTTTTTTGAATTGATTTA